CTAATGCCAAAGTTGTCTTATCTGCCGGAGGATAAAGCCCTTCTATTTCGGATAAGATCTTACTGACATAATATACAGGACATTGTATAGCATTCTCTTCACGGACCAAGACTAAACTGATTGCCTGGGTGGAAATAGCCAAGTACAAATATAATCCTACCATTTAATCTCTCAACTTCTTTGATATTTCTAAGAGGCACCATATCCCTTAGAGCCTTGATCTTCTCATGATTGGCCTCAATCCCTTGGTGGATAACCATAAAATCTAAAAAATTTCTTGAGGCCACTCCAAATGCACATTTGGAGGGGTTGAGGCGCATGTTGTAAGATCAAAGGAGACAAAAACATTGCTCCAAATCAGAAATATACTGAAATTTTTCAAGGATTTTTACCAGCATATCATTTACATAAACATTCATCGTATGCCTTATAAGATCCTTAAATATTTTATTCATGAGGCACTGATATATGGCTCCTGCATTCTTCAATCCGAAGGGCATAACCTGGTAGCAGTACAGTACTCTATCTGTTTGAAAGACAGATGCCTCCTAGTCTATGGGATTCATTCTTATTTGATTGTAACCTGAGTAGGCATCCATGAAGCTCAGCATTTGATGTTCGGATTTGGCATCAACAAGTTGGTCGATACGAGGGAGCGAAAAGAAATCTTTTGGACATGCCTTATTGAGGTCTATGTAATCTATACACATCCTCCAAGCTCCATTAGTCTTCTTTACCATCACCGCATTCGCCAATCGGATGGGATAGTGCACTTCTCGTATGAATCTAGCCTCTAGGAGCTTGTCGACTTCTTTCTCGATGGCTTGTTGGCGCTCCGGTGCAAAACTTCATTTTACTGAATAACCGACTTAGACGTTAGGTTTACATTGAGGGAGTGTATGATTATTTCGTGGCTGATTCCGGGCATGTCTGCTAGACTCTAGGCAAAGATGACTTGATTTCTTCGTAAGAATTCTACATATTTTTTATTCTCTTCCTCCAAAAGCAATGATCCGATCAGTATTGTCCTTGGAGGATGTTCATAGGATAAAGAGATACAAGCAAGATCTTTGACGGGAGAGCCCTTTTAAGGAATGTCCTTGTTTCCTATATCAAAGTCTTCAATGCTTAAGGTAATTGAAGGGCGTGGTTGAGCCTGTCGAAGATAGCAGGATTGTGCTTCTTATTGATCTCCTCGTACTATGCCAATCCTTGATGTGGTGAGAAATTTCAATTTGAAATGTGGGATTGAAGCAACGATCCCGAAGATTGACTGCAATGGTCTTCCAAAGATAGCATTATATGCTGACTCTGATTTCACAACAATAAACTGGATGGAGTGTGTGGCTTGTCAGGGGAATTCTCCCAGCAAAACGGGAAGGATTATCATACCTTCCACTCGTACAGGTCAATTATTAAATCCATATAGTGGACCTACAGCGGGTTGGAGCTTCTCTCGAGCAAGGCCCATGCTAAAAAATATGGAGTAGAATAAGACGTCCACAGAGATCCTGTTGTCGATTAAAATTCTTTTGACTTTGTTTCATGGGTCACCGATCCCTGCACTTATTACGAGTGGATCTTGATGAGGGGTCTTTATTCCCTCTAAGTTAGAATCATCGAAAGAAATAGAATGATCGACATGAGACTTCTTTGGTGTTGGTTCTTTGGTGGTCGCAATCAAGACTTGACTCGGCATTATAGGCCCTCCGGCAATAGTTTCAATTTCACCAACTATTTGTAGATTGTTAGTCGTCTGTCTTCATTATTGATTCTGCCCCCTAGTTGGAGCATCCTAATCTCATGCTGGTGGATTCTTGATGAATTGTCGGAGATATCCTTGTTAGATCAATCTCTCAATTTCTTCCTTGAGTTGTCTGCATGCTTCGGTAGTATGCCCAAGGCTTCGGTGGAAGTGGCAATATTTTTCCTAGTTTTTGACGTTGGGATTTAAAGGATATGGACACTTTACACTCTCCTAGTCTCGGATGGCCATCAACACATTTGCTCGGGATACATTAAGTGGTGTGTACTCCTCTTGGCGAGGCTCTCGTCGCTGCTGTGAGAGCCGAGGGAGAAGATTATAACTCCCTTGCTTCTTCCGCCGTGAGGACGGATTCTCCATTCCTGGTGTACTTTTGCGCTTCCCAGTTGTTTATTCAAATTGCTTGCTGTGAGCATTAATGGTTTCGTCGGCAGAGATATGGGCTTCTACACGATAGATCAGGTCTGCATATGAATGGACTGTATCTTGCATGAGCGTTGAGTAGAAGGGGCCAGGACGAAGCCCTATGAGGATTACGCCTCTAAGTAACTTAGGTCTACTCTTGGAATTTATCAGGCCTCAATAGAAAATCTTTGAAAGTACTCCTTGAGGGACTCATTTTTGTTCTGGCAAATTCCTGAGAGGTGGGAAGAGTCTTTGACCATTCTTCAATTGGCAACTAAATGTTGGACAAATACTTTGGCTAATTTTACGAACATCGGAATGGATCCGACGGGGAGTGAATAGAACCATGTTCGAGCTTGCCCTTTGAGAGTAGCTTGGAAGACTTGGCATAAGAGCACGTCAGAGGCTTGTTGGATGTGCATTATGGTCCTATAGTGATTGATATGTTTGTACGGGTCAAATGTCCCGTCGTATGAATCAATGTTTGGTAGTTTGAATCTTGCCGGAATGGGGTGTTGAAGGATGGATTCGGTCAGGGGAGATGAAACCAAAAAATCTCTTCGACGAAGAGAATATTTTAAATCTCTAATGGGGAACTCCACTCGAACTAGTCTTCGTAATTCATGTCGTAGGGTATTACGGGGGAGTTCGGTGACGTACCGTCGAGCTAAGTCCTCTGGGACCTCTGGAGGAATGTGATGCTGACGGCCTGTTCGCAAAGGATGTGTAGAGCTTGCTGTGTCTGCAAGCTCGTTCTCTTGATGCGTTGGAGGGCACATCCTTGGCAGAGGAATAGGAACTTCGACATGAAGAACATCTTCGAATTCAGGCGGGTCTCAAGGGAGAAGAACATCTTCTTGGGGTGCTAGTGCCGGTCCTCGAGTCTCTAGCAAGAGTTGGAGAATTTTATTTTGTGAGTCCTCCATCTTTCTGATACGATCATCCAGGGATGGTCCTGAAGTCCCTTCTCTGGCAGGGTTTCGTCCGCCAGGATGAAAAGAGGCAGATGCCTGGCATCCTTGATTTAGGGACTGATTTTGAGATTGATGTGAGTTGGAGCGGGAGGCTCCTAGGATGCGATTATTACGCTTGTTTACCATGGAGGTGATTCTTTAGGATAGTGGGATTAGTTGTTTCCCACAGACGATATCAAACTATTGCGGGCTAAAATATACGTGGCGATAGAGTTTTAATCATTCGTCTTAGCATTATACAGATATCCAGCTCACACACACATAACACAATTTTTTTACGTGGAAAACCCTTGAAAGGGGTAAAACCACGAGGCCTAGCCTAGTTCAAAAGATTTCACTAAAACGTGAGTTGGTAACAATGGGCTGACTCATCTTTGAGGACGATCAGATTATAAGTAGGAATTGTAATAGAAATCCAGGTGTCAAGAGATGATCTGACAGAGTTTCGTCAGAGGATGGTTTGATAGAAATTTGGGCCTTAGATGAAGACCTGGCGAAGATGAGGGCCTCGGGTGGAAGTCTGACGGAGGTGAGGGATTCTGAAGGCGATCTGACAAAAGTGAAAGCCTTAAGTGGTGGTCTGGCAGAACAACGGCGTTAGACGGTGGTTCGGCGGAGCACAGGGTGTCAGGGGGTGGTCCGGCGGAGCACAGGGCGTTAGATGGTGGTTCGGTGGAGAAACGATGTTTGGAGGTGGTCCGGCGGAGCACAGGGCGTCAGGTGGTGGTTTGGCGGAGCAACGACGTTGGGCGGTGGTCCGGCGAAAAACAGGGCGTTATGTGGTGGTCCGGCGGAGCGATGACGTTCAGAGGTGGTCCGGTGGAGCACAGGGTGTCAGGTGGTGGTCCGACGGAACAACGACGTTAGGTGGTGGTCCGGCGGACATCCGGCGTTGGTGGAGCAACGGTGGTTCGTCGGAACTCCGGCGGTGGTCCCGCGAAACTCCGGCTGTGGTGGAGGAGGCTAGGAAGCAAGAGCGATCTCCGATCTCTCTCTTTTTTCCTTAGACTCAGGAGTCTTTTTTCAAGAGGAGAGGGAGCTCTATTTATAGATTTTGGAAATGGCATGACCCGTTAATAGGTGGAGGATCAAGGGTAAGTTGGGAGTGGTTGAATGGACGGCCGATCTTGAATCCCTTGATCATGAACCGTTCGATGGATGTTTGAATGTGGTAGTGATGTCAGAATTCAGTGATCTTGAGCTCCTTTGATTCTTCTTATCGAGCCGCTTGATTCGACTATAAGTTTGTTATGTTTGGAAGCCGTTTGGTAATCCAAATTGTGGTTTGAACTTTCCAACAGTGCTTCGGGTCCTTGATTTGGACCCATTTGAGCTAGGATTGGGTCGAATTTGGTGTCGTTGGGTTCGTATTTCCGAGACGCTCAGTTCGACTATAAGTTTACTGAAATCGGAGTTCATATGCTCATGATTTTAATTTCGAAAGTTTCCAACATTGATTTTTCTTTGAGATTTGTGCCCGATCAAGATAATTTTCGGATGATATATCAGAGTTTATTTTAAGATAATTATAATACACAAATAATTATAAATTTAAGATCTTTATGAGGACAAATTTTTACATACGATCTATTGGACCAGGAGGAATGAATGTTTACATTCATGACTCATGAGCTTGTTTTTCTCTTGGACGGTTTTTCTGGCAATTAGAGAACAACTCTAATTCAACATCATTTTAATTGTTGAGGCATAATTTTTACTCATTTTTAGTCCAAATTTTTTGTCAGAATTTTATTTTATTTTATTTTTTGGTTTCTATGAGTTTGGCCTCTTTTGTTGCTTATAGACTCTTTTGAACTTTTTCCAATTTGCAGTTTCTAGAAACTCATTGGCGCAAGAAAAGCCCTACTAGGGCCAAATCATATAACTATTTGGGATCGTGGGCTTGGAAGATTCTCGTAGCAGAGTGAAATAGAACAGAACTCGGGATGGCAGTTACAAGAAAGAACGAAGCAAACATCTTAATGAGATTAACCCGCTCTCTGCCCCTCCCATGGCTTCTCTTCTTCCTCCTCCTCCAAACCCTAGTCTTTTCTCAACCAACAACACAAACCTGCTCCCACTTCTGCGGCGACGTCAAAATCCCTTACCCTTTCGGCCTCAGCCCCAACTGTTCCCTCCCCGGCTTCCAACTCTCCTGCAACCTCCGCCAACCACCTCTCCCTCCTATCCTCTCCCTCCCCGGCACTAAACTTCGCATCCTCGACATCTCCAATGGCGAACTCCGCATAGATTCCTCCCGTTTCATTGCCTCCCACTGCGCTGGCGGCCAGAGCACCCTCCCTCATCTCACTCTCCCTCGAACCAGCCCATTCACCTTTTCAGGCTCCTCGAACCGCTTCATCGCCATCGGCTGCGACACCGTCGCCGTCATCAAAGACGGAGATGGCACATTCACCAGTGGCTGTGTGTCGCTCTGCGCCGGCCCAGAGAGCATTCCCGGTGCCACAGCAGCGGGGGTGTCTCACTCTCCCTCGAACCAGCCCATTCACCTTTTCAGGCTCCTCGAACCGCTTCATCGCCATCGGCTGCGACACCGTCGCCGTCATCTCGGACGGTGATGGCACATTCACCAGCGGCTGTGTGTCGCTCTGCGCCGGCCCTGAGAGCATTGTCGGTGCCACAGCAGCAGGGGAGTGCTCAGGCGTCGGATGCTGTGAGGCTGCGGTTCCCTATGGGAGAAGGCATCTCAGCCTTGCAGCAAGAAGTATTTTTGGCTACGTCAATGTCTCGCCTTTTTCGAACTGCAGTTATTCCTTCCTGTCGGAAAACGGAGGGCACCAGTTTAAGGTGGAGGATTTAAGGGATTTCAACAGTAGAGCGAGCATATCTACGAGGCTGGACTGGGCGGTTGGGGAAGGTGATGGGTGCTCGAGCGCTTACCTATGCGGGGAAAATGGCTACTGCGTGCCTTCGCCGAGAGGAAGCGGGTATCTCTGTAATTGTTTACAGGGGTTTAAGGGGAACCCATACCTAAATGGTTCCTATGGCTGCCAAGGTATGTATTAGTGCATATAGATGTATAAAAATCTGTATTATTATTTTAGTTAATATATATGTGCTTATGTAAGGAGGTGGCATCTATCCATTGGTTATTATGTTTTGGGGCCACTCTTATTCTTTATATATACTAGGTGTTTCTCTCAAATGGGTGAACAAGTGAATGGCTCAAATTCTTTCTTCTCTTTTTTGCATAGTATTCTTCTTTCTACTTCTTCCTTGTATTCAAGAATTTACTGCAAGACTATCTTGTTTTTCATGGTATCAGAGAGGGTCTGACAGATTGTTGTCAAAGGCAAACTCGGCTACATCGCAGCTAGGTGAGTATATAGATCCGGCAAATCTTGAAGATCCTCTCATACTCGTCACAAACTTCAACCCAAAGTAAAATTCTTGTGTTTTCCTGGGTTACTCTAACACTTATAAAGGATACAAGTTTCTAAACCTGACTACCAACAATATTATCATATCCAAACACACTACTTTTGATGAACAATCCTTTCCATTCACCAAGGTCTCTTCCTCTAGTAGTAAATTTGATGTGCATCTCTCATCGTTTCTTCTCAATCCCACATTTGTGACGACCTTCGCCCTGTCTCACGGACACCATAACATAAGTACTAATATGCCCTCACAAATTGTTCAGCATCAACCATGTCCTATCATTTCCTATCCCACTAATCAGATGCTGCAAAATGCCATGCCTTCGCCCTCACCTTCACCCACATTACCTAATCACCCTATGATTACTCGAAAACAAACAGGCTCACTGAAACCTCGAGTTTGTTTAAATCTCTTAAACCATCATAACTCGTCAGACTCTATTTTTGCACCTACTACATATGCCGAAGCGATCAAACACTTTGAGTGGCGTAAATAAATGGCTATGGAATTTCTGGCTTTATAGCAACAAGGAACCTGGAGTCTAGTTTAGTCACCTACGGACGCATCTGTTCTAGGATGTAAGTGGACATATCGAACCAATCTTCATGTTGATGGCTTGATAGCAAAATATAAGGCAAGGCTTGTTGCTCAAGGCAATCATCAAGAATATGGCTTAGATCACACAGAGACGTTCAACCCAGTAGCCAAATTACCTACAATTCGCAGTCTTCTTGTCATAGCTCTTCATAATAATTGGCATGCTCAATAGCTCCATGTAGAGAATGCTTTTCTACATGGCTGTCTCTTAGAAACAGTCTACATGGCCCAATCGAAAGGCTTTGAAGACTCTTCTCATCCTGACTATGTCTGTCATCTTCACAAAGTCATCTACAGACTAAAACAAACCCCAAGACAGTGGTACAACATGTTCATGTCCTATTTGGTGTCTCTTGACTTTGCTCACAGTAGCGCATATCCCTCTCTCCTAATATTCAAACAATTACAAAATCAAATATTCCTACTCATGTATGTGGATGACATTCTTATAATCGGTAACAATTAACAAGCCATTACAATAATTATTGCTAAAATCGATAGCAAATTTTCAATGAAATACCTTGGTGAAGCACATGATTTTCTTAGCATCAAAATTGATCATCATGATCAAACGTATTTTCTCTCCCAAAAGCAATATGCATACTTACTCTTAAAATAGGCTCAACTAACTCAATGCAATTCATTATCTAATCGTAACTGTATGAAGCTTCCCACGGTATTTCCTACGGAATCTGTGCTCTCTGATTTACATATCTACAGAAGACTTGTGAGTTTTCTTCAATACTTGACGCTTACTCGCCTTGACATAGCATATAGCGTCAATCAACTATCTCAGAACATGTATAATCCTCTTCAACTAAATATTTACCTTCTTAAACGGATTCTACGCTACATGAAATGTATGCTTGATTATGGTATATCAATTACAAAAACTAATCTTGTTCTTAAATCCTTTTCAGATGCTGATTAGGCTGGAGATCCAATCTCTAGAAAGTCTACATCTGGCTATTGCTCATTTTTGAGAGACACAATCATATTCTGGACGGTCAAAAAGCAACACATGATAGCAAGATCATCAACATAATCCGAGTACCGTGCACTGGCAACTCTTACATCGGACATTATCTAGCTTCATAGGCTTCTCACAGATTTTGGCATGCCTCAAGATTATCCTACAGAAATGTATTGTGACAATACTTCCGCTATTGCACTTGCCAATAACCCGTCTTTCATGCTCGCATGAAGCACATCAAAATTGATCAGAAATTCATTTGGGATCACATACAAAACCACAATGTTCGTCTTCTGCCTATAAGCACCATAGATCAAGTGTCTGATATCTTCACCAAGTGGTTATCTACACCTCGGTTTCACCAACTCCGGCTCAAACTGACTGTCATCCAGGACCCAACAGTTTGCAGGGGTTTACTAATGCATAAAGATGTATAAAAACTTATATTATTATTTTAGTTAATATATATGTGCTTATGTAATGAGGTGGCATTTATCCATTAGTTCTTATGTATAGGGGCCACTCTCATTCTCTATATATACTAGGTGTTTCTCTGTAGTAGGTGAAAAGTGAATGGCTCAATTTTGTTCTTCTCTTTTCGCATAGTCTTCTTCTTTCTACTTCTTTCTTGTATTCAAGAACTACCGCAAGGCTATCTTGTTCTTCAGTATGAATTGCGCTATCGAAACAATGGTTGCCTTAAAATTTGAAGCGAATGTAAACCCTCTACTTCTTTCCTGCAGATGTTAATGAATGCCTCAACACTGATACTAGCCCATGCGTACCCGAAGCTCGATGCCAGAATTTGGTCTCTGGGTACAAATGTTCTTGCCCGTTTGGTAGAACTGGCGATGGAACGAAGAATCGCTCCGGTTGCAGAAATATTTTTCCGATTGTAGAAGCCATTCTAGGTGCATAAAATTTATCCTATTTGTGCAGTGAAGTATTGTAGCTTTTTATAAATTCTTCTCATTCTTTATCGTAGGAACGGCTCTGGTGATTGGAGTGATACTTGTTTTTGGGCTCTGGATCTACTTTGCATCAAAGCAGAGATCCCTCATCAAACTAAGGGAACAATACTTCAGACAGAATGGTGGACTTTTGCTGAAACATCAAATCTCCACCCGAGAAGGATTTGCTGACAACACCAGAATCTTCTCATCGGAAGAGCTACAGCGAGCCACCGCAGGTTACAGTGATAACCGAATCATCGGCACTGGTAGCAACGGCACAGTCTATAAGGGCATCCTCGATGACCAAGTGACGGTCTCCGTAATGAAGTCCCGAGCACTGGAGCGCTCCCAGATCGATCAGTTCATCAACGAGGTCTTCATCCTCTCACATATCAACCACAGAAACGTTGTAAGGCTCCTCGGCTGCTGCCTTGAAACTAAAGTTCCAATGCTCATCTTCGAGTTCGTAGCCAATGGAACTCTGTACAAGCAACTGCATGAAAGGGACTATGGTAGACGGCTGCAATGGAAGGATAGAGTGAGGATTGCTATTGAGACAGCAGAAGCGCTTGCTTACCTGCACTCGGTCGCATCCATGTCAATCTTCCACCGAGATATTAACTCGTCGAATATTTTGTTGGATGATAACTTCACTGCAAAGATCTCAGATTTCGGTATCTCAACAATGGTTCCTATGGACCACACAAAGGTGCCTATTTTGGTGCGGGGGACGTTTGGATATTTGGATCCCGACTACTTTCAGACGAGCCAGTTGACTGCGAAGAGCGGCGTATACAGCTTTGGTGTTGTGCTAGTTGAGCTTCTGACGGGTGAAAAGCCGGTTTCGTTTGAGAGATCGAAGGAAGATAGCAATCTGGCAATGTACTTTTTGTCTTCTCTCAACTGCAAGGATCTTTGGGAATTCATTGACGTGGAAGTGATGAGAGAAGGGAACTTCGAGCAGGTGAGCGCGGTTGCAGAGCTTGCAAGGAAGTGCTTGCTGTTGAGAGGGGAGAAGCAGCCGACCACAAAGGAAGTGGCTCAGGAGCTTGCTCTTGTAGCTGGGTGTTGGAAGAATGAGGGTAATGGTGAAATTGAGGAAGAAAAAGTAGCGAGATAGGAAGTTTGATTGGTAATGAAGCAAATAGGAATATGCTAGATTTGCCGAACTGTTAAGTCATGCTGAAGAAACTGTATTAACATTGCTATGCTTTGGAAGTAACGTACATACCTATTCTTATGTAAAAGAGGTGTATGTAGAGAGTTATAAAAGGTGATGTACTATGCGTGCAGTAAAAGTGTTTGTTTTACGAGCTTAAGGTTTTGTTTGAGACGATTTTTTTATTACTTCTTAAAACAGTTTTTTAGTATATAAATTTTAATTTTTTACTAAAAAGCTATTTGAAGAAGCAATAAAAAACCGTCTCAAATGAAACCTAAGGTGAAGATTGCTTTGGTTGTTATAATCTTGTGGTTTGCTTTGCCTTAATGCTGATCCATGAGTTCTACTCATTAGCTGTCATTATTATCCCCCCCCTAAAATTGATGGTGAGGTTGAACAACAAGTTGGTTGCAAAGTTGCTGAAATTGGTGTGTTGGGAGCGATTTGGTGAGGATGTCCACTAGTTGGTCGTTAGAAGAAATCAGTATTGGTTGAATGCGGCAAGCTTGAAAATGCTCTCTGATGTAGTGATAGTTTTTATCGATGTGTTTTGTACAAACATGAAACACTGGGTTGGTAGCAATTGCTATTGTAGAGATGTTGTCAAAGTAAAGACCTGTAGGCTATGAGATTGGTATGTCAAAGTCTTGCAGAAGTCGTTATAGCCATATGATTTCGACAGCAGTTGCAGCGAGAGCCTTATATTTGTCTTTATTAGTGATCGAGCCAGAGTAGGTTGTTTATTGACATTCCATGAAATGAGGGTCGAAACAAGAAAGGACCAGTTGTTGGTTGTAGAGTGAAGAGTAATGGGGTCAGTAGCCCAATCTAAGTACAAATAGGATGTGAGTTGAAGCGAGCCGTGGGTGACGGGTAGTCCATATGATAATGTTCCTTTGATGTAGCGGCGTAAGTGTTTAAGAAGTTGAGTGTGTTCTGTGAGTGGATTGTATTGATTCAAATTGTATGCAGTGTCTAGACGTGTCATAGTCAAATATTTAAGGGTGCCGGTGAGATGGCGGTAGACATCTGACATAAAGGATAGTCTAGTAAGCTTGGGAGGGAGGTGTTAGTTAGCAGGTGTAGGATTACATGTGGATTTGCATGAGGTGAAACCTGCATTTGAAGTATGAAGAGTGCAAAGGATTCTTGTGATAAGAATAGTGATTTTTGGTGTTGTTAAATCTGGGGTATAATTGATGTATAAGCCATTTTTAATTAAGAGCTAGTGTAAGCAAAACACGAATAATTGGCATTTTTGATACGGGGCTAAATGTTTCTTGATAGTTTAGACCATTTTCTTGATAGTGACCATGAGCTACCAGCCTAGCTTTGTATCATTGAATGGAACCATCAGTGTTGAGTTTGAGACTATTGGTCAAGGGGTTGAAGGTTGGATGGTTTGGGGACAAGTGTCCAGGTGCCTTATTTCTATAAGGCTTAGAATTCTATGTATAGCATTCCTCTAGCAGAATGTTTAGAAGCCGTGTGAAGGTGGTGGGCTTTGTAGGTGTTGATGTTGATGAGAGTAGTTTGAAAATGTTGTATAGTTTTAGGTGTCTAGTTTGTGAGTGGGTGACCATTCAGTGTTTGGGATCTGGAGTGGCTGTTGTGGTTGAATGGTTAGGAGATTTATGAGGAGCTAGTTTTGTTTAGAAGCTGATAGAGGAATGGTGAGGTGAACTAGCTTGAGCATTTTATGGAGGTGGAGATATATTCTGAAGAGGTCATTGATGATAGGTAGTGGCAGTGAGAAGAAAGGGATTGGAATGAGTGGAGTGGCAGAGATAGGTTGTTGGAGATGAATAGAAGGAAAATGAATTTTTTGTGATTGGATATGACATTCAATTAATTAAGTATACCATAGTTAGAATGGCATCAGGCCATAAATTATATGGAAGATGAGCAACCTAGAGTAAAGTTATAAAATCTGAATGATGTGTCTGTGCTTACGCTCGATAAGGCCATTTTTTCGAGGGCTATATGGGCCGCTAGTTTGGTATAGGATGTTATAAGCTTAAAAAGAGGTGAGTGAATGATTACAAAACTCAGTGCCATAATCAATTTTAAGTCATTTTATTTTAAATTGTTGTTTCAATTCAATGAAAGTTTTAAAGTTGATAAATATGTTTGTAACTACTGATTTAGCTCGGGTGGGAAACAAACATATATAACATGAGAAGTCATTAATAAGCAATAAATAGTATTTGTAGTCTTGATTTGATAACATCGTCCAATGACCCAATACATCTGAATGTAAATGCTCTAAATGATTACATTTATGATTGTTGGAAGATAAGAAAGGTAGTTTATGATTTTTAAAGGCCATACAAGAAAATTTGTTGGATGGTTGTGTTCAAATAATGAGATACCTATTATATTTGGAGATGATGGATAATGTGCGAGAATGCAGATGTCTGAGATATTAGTGCCAACAAAGGTCAAATATGAGAGATGTGGTAAGAGCTAGAGGGGCTGACTAAGAGGGACGTTGCACTAGATAGAGACCATTATGGGAGGGGCCCTAATGGATGTAGTTGTGGCATTGATTCATGATTGTATAATGCAATGCATCAAAGGAAATGGATATTTTAATATCATGAGTGATTTTATAGTCAAATAGGAGATTGTGAGAAATATAAGGAGCATAGAGAACATGAGGTAGAAGTAACATACATGTAGGAGTTGGAAGAAGTCCTTGGCCAATGTAAATGATGGGAGTGGTGGATCTATTGCTAACAATATTTTGATCTACTCCTTTATAACATGTAGCCATTCATTCTGATGTGATGAGGAGGCCAGCATTGCTTTATGTATGGAGTTGGTAGACGATAGTGTATTGTTAATGTTTAGATGATGCTACCAAGTGGATGCAGAGTGTCATCTTTATTGCAAATTTATTAGATTGTAGGTGCAGGAGAGGAGCGATTAGGAGGAGGGGTACGAGTGGATGAGTTTTGTGGGAAGTAGGAATGACCATTAGAGTGCCTCCTGTGAGTGGTATAGAAGATATATGATGGGTTAGTAGAGGAATGAATTTAGGCATAATCAATTGTGAGGTTAATTTTTTCACTGATGAGAAGAGAGTGGATATCATCAAGGGATAAGGGTGTGACTTTGGTCCTGATTGAAGCTTTGAAGGATTGATATTGAGGAAGGAGACCATTGAAGGCGTATAGTATGAAATCTTCAGAATTAATGGTGGAGCTAGCTACTAAAATATTGTCTACCAATGTTTTGATATTAGTGTGAAATTGAGTAATCGATGAGCTTTTCATCGATATATTATTAAGATCATTGTTGAACTGAATAACGTGTGAACGATTAGTGGCCTAAAAAAGGCATTCCTATATGATCAAAATTTTGCAGCAAGTGATGAGGTGTTGGAAGTAGGGAAGAATGAAGGTGGTAACTGTCGAGCATAAAGAGGCTGCCAAATTTTGGTCTATGAGGAGCTATTAATGATGAGAATGATTGTCGGTAATGGTGGAGTCAGAGATTGAAATGGTAGGGGCTAGAATTTCTTATGTGTCGAATATAAAATAGGAGAAACCATTGGTAGTGAAGAGATTGAGAATTTGTGATTTCATATGGAGTATATATCATTCGAGAGTTGTGTAGGAACTATGGTTTTGAGGTTAGAGAGAACAATTTTTTTGGAAGAGGGAATGTGAGGTTCATGAAAGAATGAAGAGAAATATGGTTCAGATTTAAATTTGATCCAAAGTTGATCAAACTCAAATATCTTTGATCCATCTTTTTTATAATACATGTTAAAAAAGTTGATATGAATTTTGTTTAGTTAATCTATTTATCACATAGATCATATAGTTTTTTAGATCATTCTTATCTACTTAATATGAAATGACCCATTTAACCTAAACCTAACCCATTTAGCTCAAACATGGATGGTAATCTGATCAATTTCAATTTGTTTGGGTCAATTAAAATATGACAAAAAATTAATTGGGTTAATGCAAACAAAAATTATGAGTTTAATTCATTTGAATTATAAAATCAGTTCATTTATTAAATTATTTAAAATAAGTGATTTAAGTATCATTTTAATGATTTTGAAATAACACAAATGTAATTAAATATTCAAGTTTTTAAAAAAAACATTAATATGTCACCAAAAATTGCCTCGATCGAGCATGAATCTTGAGTCATATTTTAATTCAAAACCTTTAAAATTAAATTTGGGATCATCCGAACTCCAATTTCAGTAAGCCTATTGTCAAATGGGATGTCCAAAAAAGATGAACCCAACAACATCAAAGTCAGTTTAATATGAACCCAAATGGGCCCAAACAAGGGACCATAACATATTTGTAAACTTTAAAGTATTAATTAGATGACCAAATTATATCTAAATATTTCATGAATATGGTTATATTATTTGGCTTGAATAAACAAATCCTATGAGCCCAAGATCACTCAATTCAAACATCATTAACATATTTAAATGATAAATAAACACTCCATGATAAATGGGACCAATATGGGCTATTTGATGGGGCACTTTGAATTTTCTTGAGCTCTTCTCCATATTTATGATGCATGCAACTTCAAAAAATTTATAAATAGGCCCCTCACATCTAAGTGGGGTTTTGGGAGGAGGAGGTTAAGACCTTGGGCTAGAGATTCAAGAGAGCTCTCTAAGGCATGAATCATGAAGCTCCACCTGAGCACAACTTCTTGCAAACCCTCACCACCCAGTTGCCACAATCAAACTTTTACCAATCGATCATTATTGTACAACTAGTCAGCCACCACTATCAAACCTCTGCCTGACCATTATCATCAGATGTATGTTTAGTCAATGTTGTAGCATCTTTGATGCCCGACTATAGTTCCTTTAACCTCAATTGCTCGACTATAGCCCCTTTGACCATCAGTGTCCGACTATGATCTCTCTGACCACCATTACATAACTATGACCCCTCTAGCCTCCATCACCTAACAACGACCCCTTCAACCACCATAACCTAACTACAATCCTTCAAACCTCAATTGCCTATCGACTTTAGTCCTCAAATCACAATCACTCGACTACGATTCTTATACCATTTCCTCATGGTTATAATCCTTCCAACCATTATTTCATAACTGTGATCCTCGAACCACCATCACCTAACTATGGTCCTTCTGACCC